GGAGCGGGACTCCACGGTCTCCCTGCTCTTCCACCACACCTCTGTGGGGACCTGAGGCATCTGCGCACTCAGCCGACATCTCAGGAAAAGCCTGACCAGGCACACACAGGGTCCGGTGTAGTCCAGGCCTCCCTTGGTCACCCAGTGTGGCCCCGGGTGACTCACTGTCCCCACCTGGTCTCAGTTCATGGCCAACGCCCCTCCCAGGAGAATCAAGCACTTCACCAGCGTGGAGACTGCAGCCCCAGACTGTGGGTGGCCACACCGTGGCCTCCTGGACGGGACTCCGTGCCACAGGTGGTCAGGGCTAGGGGACGCTTCCCACCTGCCCTTGTCCCCGGGATGGCCAGGTGTCCCTTGGGCTGGAATGAGCCAGGGCTGAGTGGTGCCCAAGCTGTCCTCAGGGCCAGGTGCTCATCACTCTGACCTGTCACCCGAGGAGGAAGCTGTCCCCTCTTGCAGGCAGGGATGCTGAGGGCCTGGGAAGAAGACGCTGCCTGAGAGCCCCGGCCTGGGCAGAGGTGGCCGGGAAGAGGGCGCTATGGGGCCGTTGGCTGTGCCCCTTCCAGGCCCCACCATCCGAACTCTAATAGCTCCTGTGTCTGGGCTGATGACATCACGGGGTAGTAGTGAAGAGGGAGCAGCAATTGGTGAGGATGGGGATTAAAGATGAGATAATGGTGGGATTTTGGTATTTATAGCAAAAGCAGCCCTTTGAAGATCTGTGAGGCGGCAGGAGCCGTCTTATATTTGGCAAAGCGTCCATAAGCGCAGCCGCATCGTCAAGAGGAGACAGACTTGCCTGATGCTTAAGGAATTTTCACAAATCCATTTGCTTTAAGGTTTTAAATGAGCAGTAAATCCCGCCTCCGCCGAAGCCCCAGCTGCCCGCGGCCCTCTCCCTGTCTGTTGTGGATAATCCCAGAGGGGGCAGAAATGTCGCCAGGCAGCAGCAAGACACCAGGGTGCCTCAGCTAGTGTGGCCCACGGCCACATTCCGCGGGGGCGGGGCCGGCCGGCACTTCCCAGCCTCCTGTGGATTCCCAGGCTGTTCCTGCTGTTGCTTACACAAGCGACCAGCAGCAGCGAGAGGCTCCAGATGCGGGGGTGGGGAGAGGCCGCACAAGGCGGAGACGCTGGGCCACAGGGAGAGGGCGGTGTCCGCAGTTTCTGCTACGTGGGCCGGCACTCACATCCGGAAGACCCACTCCGCTGGTGCTCCTTCAGGCTCGGGGTGACCCAGCAGCCTCGGCTCCTTCCCACCTCCTCCTGGCAGCCGCTCTGGGTGGCGCTCCCTCCACATGCAGGCTGTCCCTCTGCCAGCTCCCCCGTGGGACTCCTCCTCGGGGCCTTAGGCCGTGCTGCATAGCACTGAGATGCCACTGCGCTGCAGCTGGCGTGCTGGCTGCGTGTGCCCTGTCTCGCTCCCTCCCGGAGGGCCCTTCAGGGCATGCCTGTGTCTGGCCCACCCTGCCGTCCCCTCTCAGCCTGACACTGACCCTCGCGGACCCTGGTTTGGCTAGAACGCTTCACATGTCCTGGGCTGTGCCACACAGCGCCCAGGGACAGGCGGACGGGCGCCCCTTGCCTCGGGCTCTCTGGGCTCAGCTGGGCAGCGCAAACTGCCTCTGAGCACACAGTCAGAACTGGGCCCAGAGAAGGGAGTGGGCTCAGCGCTCTGGCAACAGGGCAACCGTGGGCAGTCCTGGCTGCTGGGCCTGAGAATGGGGCCCAGAGCATCACCCTGCCACCCTCCCGGGAGAGCTCCGGGGACAAGCTGGGTGTGAGGGAAGCGAGGCTGCCCCATCGCCTGGGCCGACGTCACTCATTGACTGTAGCGCTGCTCTGCTGGCCAGGGATGGACTCCCCGGCCGAGCACCCTCCCCACCACTGCCCACAGCGACGAGGAAGCTGCCAGCAGGCCACGGCTGCCCTGCACATGCACACCCCTGTGGGTAGTAAACAATTGGTTGTGCACAGAGGCAGCTGCGGGACCAGCTGGGCTCCAGGCCCCACGCAGTTCAGCTTGGCAGGCTACAGGACCAAGGCCCGGGAATGGCCAGCGTCCCTGCCTGCTCTGGGGCCTGGCGAGCTCCCCTTGCCCCTGGGCTCCAGATTTCCTGTCAGCGAAATGGGCAGTGGGGAAGAAACCTCTCCTGGCCTTCCCCAGATGGATACTCCCAGGACCAAAGGAAGAAAGCGCTGAGCCCATCGTGTGCCAGGCTGCTGCCAGGCACTGGGCCAAGTGCAGAGCCGGCCCCATAGGCCCTGTCCCGGGAAGAGGACGGACAGCAGGGACACAGGTGGGCCAAACCCCTGCGGACTCGGCCAGGCGATGCCAGATGCCCACCCCAGCCTACCTTGTATCTTCAGTGGGTTGTGGTAGTGGACTTCCAGGCGGAGGAAGCGTGCGGACCCCGGGCCCCCGAAAGGAAGGCCAGCCTCCTCTGGGTAGTAGAAAGCCTGCGGTGTGCGGGCAGAGAGGGCCACACAGTGTCAGGTCAAATAAGCCCACCGTTGGGGCCTGAGCTGGGGCAGCGGCGTGGGTGGGGCAGCTGGGTGGCACCGCTGCTCTGCCACCGAGCCTCCTGTGGGCTGGGTGTCAGGCTGTGGGGGACGCTGAGCCCCGCCAGCCTCCTCCCGCCCCCAGCCCTCTTCATGCCCCTCTGGACAGTGGCAGACTTCAGTGTGACCCCAGGGACTGAACCCGTGAGGCCACAGCAACTTTGCCAGCTAGTGCCAGCCCAGGGCCCGGCTGTGCACCAAACTCCGACTCTGGTGGAAAGTGAAACTGGTACCCACAGAGCACGTGGGCACAGAGCCACGCTGGAGGTGAGATGGGCATGGGGCAGCTTGGCCCTTGCCTGTGCACTCCATGGGGGGCGGGAAGCACGCACCTTGGCGCCCAGCGCCCACGCGGCCAGCACGTGGCGGCAGTAGTTGAGGCGCTCCGGCTTCATCCTGGAGTCGCAGGCCCCGCTGAAGTGGGGGACGTTCTCCAAGCCACCCGTGCACTGGAAGATTTCTATGTGGTGCACCAGGGCTTCGTTGCCCTTGGTGATGATGGGCTCATACTGTGGAGGGACCACACTCTGAGCAGGGCGACCTGGCCCTGCGGATGCCGTTCTGCCCCGCCAGCCTCCGGCCGCCCGCCGTGACAGGGAGGGTTGAGGGTGCAGACCCGGGAACTGGGGAGACATGGGCAGCTCAGAGCCTGGTGGCAAAGCCAGGAAGTGGACCTCTGGTCGGCCGGGGCAGGAAGGCAGCTGTGCGCTCCTGTGCAGGCAAACGCTGGGCCCCGCAGCCCCAGCCAGGGCAGGGTGGCCCGGGTCAGGCCAGGCTGCTCCCTGCCATGTGGTGCTGGGCGCTCACCGAGCCTCTCTGGGCTGCTCATCACCCCCAGGAAATGGGCAGTGCCTGGCACTGGGCACTGCTGTGATGCAGTCCCTAGTGGCCTCCACTTCGCCCCCACCAGGTAGGTAGGCACCTGGGGACACAGCAAGTGAGCTCTCTATGGGGCTGGACAGACGCTTGGACAGCAGCCCAGGCCCAAGGACAGATGCACAAATCACTTCTGGCCACTGGGGAGCAGGTAGGAAGCCGGAGCCCAGAGACCCCTGAGTGGGCATGAGCAGGGTGACAGGGACAGAGAGCGCAGGCTGGGCCTGGGGCTAGGCAGCATGTGGACTCCTGTTTGCACAGGACCACGGCCGGCTGTCCAGGTCAGGGATGTGGCACCCCTGAGAAACACGGTGGGCAAGGCCCCACGCACCATGATGATGTGGTGCCGAGAGAAGCCCTGGGGCAGCTCGGAGATGTAGCACCAGTACGTGGTCTCCTGGCCGGGGATCAGCACGTCAGGGGCCCGGATTTCCATGGTGCGGGTGTCGGCGGGCACCTCAGGCACGGGCACCTCAGGCTTCAGCAGCTGCACCCGCTGCAGCCCCGTCTGCAGTCCCGAGGTGTTGATGGCCTCCACTGATGGGAACGGCTGCTCCAGGATCCCGTACACCAAGTGGACAGTGCCATCCTGCAGCCAGACAGGGCCGGTCATCAGCTGCCCTGCGCCTCTGGTGTGGGCTCTTCAGCCCCAGTGGAGACACCACGCCCTGCCCACCACAGACACCCAGTGGCCCACTCTCGGCTCCCCCAGCAAGGGAATTCTTGTGACCTGGCTGTGACTAGATCCCAGGCTGACCCCCACGCCTGTGTGTCCCATGCCTTTCTAAATCCAGCCAATCCACAGGCACCTGGTGTCATCCACAAGATCCCGGACAGGGCTGGTTTGTGTCCTAGAGTCAGGATGGCCCAGCCTGGGGAGCCAGGGCTCCAGGGGACCCTGGCGGAGCTCCCTAGCACTGACTCTGATGGTGTCGTCTAAACAGTGACTTGGCCGCCAGAGTTCTAACAGTGGAGACCCGGGAGATCTCAGTGCCCCTGCCTGGGTTTTCTCTCCTGGAAAACCGACAGCTCTTCTGTAATGTTCTAAGTGGTGCCCATCCATTTATTACAGGACGGAAAACTGGCCGTTGGACCAGGTTGTCATCTCTGCACTGGGAGGCTAAGGCAGGAGGATCACGAGTTCTATCCTAGCCTGAGCAGCTCAGCAACTTGGCAAGACCCTGCCTCAACGTAAAAAATTAAAATAAAACCTTTAAAGGGTTGGAGATACGGCTTAGTGTGAAGGCCCTCGATCCAATCTCCAGTTCCAAAAAAAAGAGGTCAGCGCTTTTCACCTCTTCTCTGAGATCCAGGCTTCCTGGTGCGTGAAGCTCTCCAACCCTGAGGGAGCCCAGCCTGCATCCCCGCACTGGCAGGTGAACCCCAAGCAGGACCTTCCTGCCCTCAATCCCCGGGCCAGAGACCACCCTGCAGCCCCGAGCCCCCAGAACCACCACTGCCTGACCCCTGGCCCTGCTGCACCTCTGCCCGCCTCTGCCTGCCTCCCCGAGAGGCCGCTGTGGTGCTGTGGGCTGCTCCCTGGGGAACTGTGGGTACTGTGATCCCCATCCACAGAGTAGGGCTGGGCACAGGACACCAGCCAACCGGGGAGAGGCAGTGAGGTGTGCTGGGACGTTACCTCGATGAAGTAGTCCTTGGGGTCACAGGTGCCAAAGGGCCTCTTGAAGAGCAGAGCCAGGCCTTCCGGGGTGCCCTGCGCCTGCAGCAGCTGGTAGTCCTGCTGGGAGTCCAGGTGGACCTGCCCCTCCTGGTCACTCCAGGCATCCTGCAGACAGGCTCCAGTGGGGGCAGGAAGGGGCTGCAGCCGGGCCTTTCCCGGCACAGCTCAGGAACAGTGGCCCTGCCCTCACTCTGCAAGGCAGAGCTCACCTGCTGTAGTCTGTCCGTCTGTCTGTCTGTCCGTCCGTCCGTCTGTCTGTCTGTCCATCTGTCCGTCTGTCTGTCTGTCTGTCTGTCTGTCTGTCCGTCTGTCTGTCTGTCCGTCCGTCTGTCTGTCTGTCCATCTGTCTGTCTGTCTGTCTGTCTGTCCATCTATCTGTCCGTCCGTCTGCCTGTCTGTCTGTCCGTCCGTCCGTCTGCCTGCCTGTCTGTCTGTCCGTCCGTCCGTCTGTCTGTCTGTCCGTCTGTCTGTCTGTCCGTCTGTCTGTCTGTCCGTCTGTCTGTCTGTCCGTCTGTCCGTCTGTCTCCTTTGCAGTTCTGGGATGGAACCCTGTGCCTGTACATGTGAGGCAAGCCCCTCACACTGAGCAACACCCCGCATGTCTGTCTCTGCTGTGGGCTGAACCCCATCCTGCCCAATTCTTCTGCAGCCAGGAGCGGTCAGACTCCAGGTGGGTGGGCTGCCTACAACTCCCAAGCCTTGGGCTCAGGCCCAGCAGCTGGATTGCTGGGGAAGGGCCTGAGGCTTCTAGTAGGGCTGGGGTCTTGGACCAGTACCACTCACATCATTCCTCGAGGAGAGAAGAGGAAAGATGGGGGGGCAGAGGAGAGGAGGGGCAGGGGACGGAGGGGGGAGGGGAGCGAGGGGGAGGTGGGCTGTGAATGTGAGTGGGGAATGCGGACGGATGGAGGGGCCAGGGAGAGAGGAACCAGGCTGAGCCCTCAAGGCAGTGCACACCTCCTGGTGTCCCTCCTGGCAGCAAGCCACACCCCAACTATCCCTCGCATCACCCCACTCCAGTTTTGGCTGAAGAGGGTAAACTGAGGCTGGGGTGAGAGGCTGGTGGCAGCATCCCAGGATTGTGTCTCAGCCCCCGCCGGGGCTCCAGGCAGTGCCGGCTCTGCGGTGGAGCCCCGGAGCCTCCCCAGCCAGCAGGGGCCAGGAATGCCTCGGGCCCCCTCTGCAAGGGTTTTGGTCTGTGCTTTTAATCCTCTATCTGTATCATGTTTTCATTTCTAGAAAAGAACCTACAAAAGATTGTGCCACATTTCCCAGAGGAGAGCAGCACTGGGCCCCGCTGATCTGCCACAAACTAATTCAGACGCAGCCACGAGGTCGGCTGGGGTTTCAGCAAGACTACATTAGGTGTGCGGATTGCCAGAGGAGGTTCCCCAAGCCCCACGTCTGTGTCCCTGGGAATCTGCTGCGCGCGTTAAGCTTGCAGGGCGTGCAAGGCGGTGCCATCCAGGCTTCCTCCTCTGCCCTGGGAAAGCCCTGCCAGGGAGGGGCTCCCCATTCCCACGGGATCCGAGCCCTCGGCACCACGCAGCTGAGCCTCGGAACTGGGCTGTGACCCTAGAGCCACCGCACAGCCGCCGACTGCCTCATCCTGCCTGGTGGTCTTGAGCAAGGGACGCGGGTGGCCCAGCTTCAGTGCCTCCTCCTGGAAAGGGACCCAGGGTGCAGGGGAACGCTCCCCACTGCCAGTGGGGACACAGGCCTGAGCAGGAGAAGGTCCATCTTTGCCTCCTGTGCCTGTGGCCACAGTGAGAGGAGGCAGTCGTGCCCAGGGAGGCCTTGGTGACTAGGCCCTGCAGGGAAGCAAGAGCCACAACCGTGGCTTGGGCTCTCCCTCTTCTGGTGACCCCAGCTGCTTGCAGGGACCCCAAGGGCCATGCCAGTTGGAAGGGAGACTCCGCCTTCTGCACCCGCAAAGGCAAGAGTGAAGGTTCATCCTGGAGGAAGGAGCTGAGGTCCTGACCTGGAGTCCAGCTGTGCGTGTGTGTGTACGTGTGCGTGTGCGTGTGTGTGTGTGTGTGTGTGTGTGTGTGTGCAGAAGGCGGGTAAGTGCGCCATCTTGGCCCTGGGCACAGGCTCCCTGCTATGCCAGGCCTCGAGCCACCACTGGCCACGTTGGGAGCACCTGCCCCAGCCTTGGGGCGCAGGGTGTCCGGGCAAGGGGAGGTGGGGCCTGCGCTCACACAGAGGAGTGTGTGATGGCCCGCGGCCCCTCCGTGTGCGGAGCCATGGCTCCAGGGCGCAGGTGAGGGCCTGGGAAGTGCTGCTTCCTGCCTATCCTGGGCACCCCTGCGGTGCCCACCCCAGAGACAGCCTGACTGAGGTCAGAATAAACTCAAGCACTGAGAGGTTGCAGGGAAGCGCCCTGGGCTGGGCGGAGGACGGGAGCTGGGGAGGAGGGCCAGGCGGGTGCCAGCGGGTGAGGTGGGGACGCAGGCACAGGAGAGACTCACGGCAAAGTAGGCGCTGTCGCCGTTGGTCCAGAGCACCACAAGGTCCGCGTTCTCCATCTCACCACGGTCCGACATCCCGAAGAGGATCCCAGCCTTGAGCTCGCGCACCAAGAGCCGGAAGTGGACGGCCTCCTGGGTGTAACTGACATTCCAGGACAGCTCCAGGGTGCCCTGGGGGTCCAGGAGGATGCGGTAGGGGAAGGGGCTCTCAGGGGGCGCCGAGCCCTGCAGGGCGGCCACCAGGATGACCAGGAAGACGGCCACCACCGTGCCATACATGGAAGCTGCCTCGCGTGCATTGGGGCTGGGGAGCCCGGGCCTGCAACGCTGGCGGCTGGGGTCCTGCATGGTGGGCTGAGCTTCGGGCCCCACAGGGCCCTTTATGCCCTGGCCCCCAGGAGGGGCTGGGCCCAGTCTGCCTGGTAATTGTGTTAGTCTGGTGGGGAATTGAATTGTGCTGGTGGCCCTCCCACCAGCCTGAGCCCCAGGGCAAGTGCTCTGCCTACACCGCCTCTAATTACACTAATGACACACGGGGACAGCGGCAGGGGAAATCGAAGCGGACTCTGAGGTCCGTCTGGACAGCAGCTCCTTCCACAGCTTGGGCCGCCTCCCAGGTGCTGGGTCCCATCCTCACCCAGAGAGCCAGAGCGGGTCCCAGGGGTGCTTTCAGGGTGACCAGGGGTGGCCCCTAGTGGCTGCAGGCCTGGCCTAGCCAGCTACACGGTTTCTATAGTACTGGGGGTGTGGATCGATTTCAAACTAAAAATAAAACACAGCCCCCGGTTAGTCTCTGTGCAGACACTCTCCCGCGGCCTGCTGTTCCCACTTGTGCCTGCTCTGTTTCCCCACCAGTTCCAGCTGGTGCCAGGGCTGCTCAAGGAGTGGGTGCATCGCTGGGGGCAGATGGGCGAGGGAGGGCTGCAGGCGGGGGCAGGCTGAGGGCGTGGTGCCAGGGACAGACTGCAGGGGAAGGGGGCTGAGGGGCCGGCCTGCTCCTGTCTGAGTCCCCACGCTCACCCAGGGCACAGGAGCCTGGACCTGGCCCTCTGGGATCTCAGTGGCCATGGCGTGGTAAGGTTTTCTCAGCCTGTGCTGTGACCCCCCCCCCACTCCCAGCCAGCATGACAGATCGCTCCTCCCTCCCTCGCTTTCCCTCTCTCCAATGTTAGGAACCCATGAGCTTTGTGGCTCCAACTCTAAGTCCTCTGCTGTCCCCAAGGACACCCTCAGGCTGCTGTGCAGGAGCTGGCTCCACGTAGGAGCAGCAGCTGTGCCTCCGTGCAGCTCTGGGGGACCTCGAAGCCTTCCCTGGGGGCTGTGTGGAGCTGGGGGGGGCCACAGCGGGATGGGACAGAGGCTCTGGGGTAGAGGTGCCTCTCACGCACGCAGTAACAGGAGAGAAGCCACTGGTGCAAAGGTGGGGTGCTGCTGGGGCTGCAGCGGGGCCCCAGGGTGAGCCTCTTCAGGGAGAGTTTCCAGCCCAGAAACTCTCTGTCCCTTCCAGGACAGGATGCCAACAGCCAGAGATGGCTGGTTCCTCAGGCTCCTCTTGACCCAGGAAGGCCAGGAGCAAGGACGAAGAAGGGTCCTGATTTTGGGGGGCGGTGAAGGCAGAAGGTCCCATTCCTCATGTGGATTCCAGACAAGACCAGCAGTTGCTAGGTGCTCCGTGGAGGGGAGGCGGCGTGCCCGTCCCCTAGTAAACAGCAGAGTGCTGCATGCATGCATTTATTTTTAACAGGATTTAGAAGATATCCTCATCCTCCAGCTTAGAACCAGGCTGGAACGCCGGCTGCCTTCCACGGTCGAGAAAATAGACGCAGTTGATTTCTGAAGTAACAATTACCGAACCCCAGCCATTAGCAGGCGATGGAGGCTTTCCCACTCTGTCCTCACAGGGCACGGGGGCAGGGGCTGTGGTTGTCCCCGCCTGACACAGAGGGGCAGCTGCGGAGCGGGGAGCCTGCTGGCACCTGGGATTGCACGGCCGTGCTCTGGGGCTGGAGGGGGCCAAGCGCCCCGGCAGCCAAGGTCATGGCAGTTCCGCTGGAGTCAGGAGGGAGGAGGTGCAGACCAGAAATGCAACCTCGGAGGAAAGGGAGGGCGGGAGGGGCGGCGGGTCCTCTGTGTCCGGAACCTCGTGCCTTTCTGAGTGCCAGTGGACCTTGAAGAACAGCAATCGGACCCCGGGGCAGGAAGCATCGCTCAGCTGTCCTGTCCACACCCTTATCAGAGGTGACACCGCCCGCCCTGGAACCTACTGGACACAGTGCTGAGCCAGCTGGGCAGGGCCTCTGTGCAGGGCTGGGTCCGGTTCTGGGCTGGAGCTGCCCTTCTCCCTGCCCTGGCTCAGGCCTGCTCCTCTGCTGCTTGGGTCAGGTGGGACATGCTCCCCTCCAAGGTCGGAGTGGGCTGGGGGGGCACGCGGCAAACTGTCCCCACCTCAGGAGAGGAACCCTGCTTGGCGGTGCTTGGTGCCTGGCTTCCTTCCAGGGCACTTCGACGGCAGCTGACCTCATTTAGGAACCAATTTCAGCATTCTAATAAGCCCTTTGCCTTCCCAGCCTCTCTGATGCTGTCGGCTTTAGCGGGCTATAATCCCCCACCAACTCTGCCTCGTGAGGCCGGCTGCGGCTGACTGTGGGCTGTGGGTGGTGACAGCCACAATGCAGTGGTTGGGGTGGGGACCACAGGTGGGTGCGATCCCTCCAGGGTAGGCCACCCCCCACAGCAAGGGTACAAGCAAGGCCATGTCCTGCCTGCCCCGAAGTCGAAGGGTCTAGATAGGCTGGAAGGACCATCCTGAGGACTGACCCAGCACGTGACAGCAGTGCCCACGTCCTGGTAGCATGTCACCCTTGGGAGGGGCTGCTGTCTCCCTTGTCCTGAGCATGGGCACAGTAAGAAGGTGGAAGAGGGAAGGTGTGTCCTCCCAGGCCACGCTGAGGCCACCCTGCACCAAGAACATGGCTGTGCAGGCGGCCCTGAGGCTGCGGTCGTGACGCCTGCCCTGCAGCTCAGGATGCCCAGAGCTGGGCACTAGGCGGGGGCACTGGGCACTTGGCGGGAGAGGCAAAGCTGGTCCAGAGGGTTGGGTACTGCCAGCCAGGCAGGACGTTCCAGAGGCCTGGGCCCTGTGGGGCTGGAGCAGCCAGGTCTTGAGCGAGGCCCTGCTGTCAATGACGGGGTGACTTAGGGCGTCTACTTCTGTGGGAGTCCCCTCTGTGCAGAGGGCCAGGAGGGGCCGGGGGCAGGCTGATGCTCGCCCCTGCGAAGCTGCGGCCACACACAGATGCACACACTCACACTCCTACATGGACACACTGACACACTCGAATAACTTCACACTCGCTTTCGCTTGTCCACATGTGCTCACACTGACACGCGTATCCACGCACACTCCCATGCCCTCACCCTGTCTCACACTCATACTCACCAGGCTGGTGTGCAGGTGGCTACCGAAGCCAGGGGGCTCAGCCAGCTACGGGTTGGCAATCTAACTGTTTAGCCTAAGAAAAGGAGGCCTGGAGCCCGAGGTCTGCAGGAAGTCACCCCCACTTGGAGCAGTCTCAGAACCTGAGTCCGGGAGACCCAAAGGGCTGTGCCAGAGGCCTTCGCGGCTCCTTCCGACCTCAGCGCCCGGGGACAGAGGGGCAGCGCACACGCAGGCCTCGGCCAGCTGGGAGGAGCGCGGGCCCCAGAGAGCCAGGTGAAGAGGCGGCCCTCCCCAGACCTCTCTGCTCCTGTCCCCCTACCTGTCGGAGGGTGACAGAGCCACAGCATGGGACACACTCGCTGAGGAAGGGTTCGGTCAGTGCTGTGATCTTTATTGTTAGGGACATGTAAATGTCGCTGAAATGATGATAAAAGGCCCCTGAGTTCCATTCTCAAAATTAACCGCTGTCCATGCTGGACACACAGCGCTTCAGCGTTCCCCTTCACTCCCGGGACTGCTTGCAAAGCGTCTGCTGTCCTGTGTTCACTGTTCGACCCCGTGGTGTCGTATTTAGCGTCTTAGCTTCACGCACGCACCGCTCACCGAGCACGTGGGCGCTGGGTGGCCGTCTCGGGCACTCCACCAGTGACACCAACTCCTCACGCCCGCCTGCCCGCCCGGGCCTCACACCCACTGATGCCCTGTCCCAACTGGGTTCTATAGGAGTCGCCCTTATGTCCTCGGTGTCCACCGGCTCCTCGCTGAGGCTCCATAACCCCCGCGTGGGGACGGCCCACCACCACACACCCTCCTTCTGTGTGCCCACACTCCTGGGCTCCCTCCCTGCTTTTGGCTTCTGGACACAGCGGTGTGCAGACCCCTCTTCCACCCGGCCCTGTTCCTGCAGGGTGAGGAGTTGCCAGACCCCACAGCAGCTCTTTTCTGAGTTCCGAGGAGCTACCCTTCTCCTGGCCTGCTGGAGTGCAGCTTCGCAGCTGCCTTTCCGTTGCGTGCTGGGCTGCCCCTTGCCTCTCGTGCTGACCCGAAGGCACCGGGCTACCCTGCACGCCAGCTTATCTGCAGGTGTCCTTGTGACTCTTCAGAGTAAGCTCACAAGAAGTCAAACTGTGAGGGGGACCGAGGTCCGTACCCAGGGTTCAGAAGACCTTGTGCAGGGAGAACGCCCCAACCCTGGCTGCTCTGCCACTAACGCAAGACAAGTCGGTCTCCAAGGAGAAACCGCCTCCTGCAGCTCCTCGGTGGGTCTGAGCCCTTTTGACGGCCAAATCAGCCACCAGACCAGGCAGCGCCCTCCGGCAAGGACCAAATGCTTCGCCTGCGTGGGCACAAATTCAATCAGGGCCGCCGAGGCCCCATCTGCCTCGCGCAGATGCAGCTCAGAGGCGCGGTCTCCACGCCCTGGGGGCTCCGACATTCAGGCAGTAAGAGGCAGCAGGGATCTGTCCACCCTGATCCAATTTCCAGCTGCTGATCACGTTATGGAGACGCTCGGGCCTGGGAGGCACTGAGGAAAGGGCGAGTGAAAGAACAGAGACCGCCCTGCTCATGGGGAAGCGAGGAAGTGGCCTGGCCGCCTGCTGCTGCCGAGGACATTGTTCTGGGTGACGCCACACCAGGATCCAGGGCACAGGACGTCTCAGCAGGGCCAGTACCGGATGCCAGTGCCAAAGGGCCCTTTTTCCTGGGGAAGGTGTGCCTTGAGGTCTCAGCACAGGCAGCCGGCCACGTCATGGTGAGGTCCTCACAGAGGCCCTGGTCCCGTCCCTGGGCCTGGGCTGGTGGAGTCCTGTAAAAGCCCAGGGCCAGCCTCCCACCTGGTGCACTCGACATAATTATCCCACTGTCTGGAACTGTTGTCACAACCCCACTTGGAACAGAAAGATCTTTT